GGAGCTGCTGTAAGGAAGGAAGCCAGGCTAGCCTGGTATTCCCCGTGCTGGGTGGGCTGGGACAAAGGCTGCTACTGGGACATGGGCTGCTGCCAGCCACTCCCTTCACTGGTTGTCATATTCTCTCCCTAAGGATACCCAGAAATGGCGAGGGCCTTGAACGCCACAGGCCGCCCCATTGTCTACTCCTGCAGCTGGCCAGCATATCAGGGGGGTCTTCCCCCCAAGGTAGGGGTTTTTCCATCTGTTGGCAAGTTCCCATGTCCCCTCTGCCCTGGAGGAGCTCTTGCTGGAGCATCAGGAGCAGGGTGTTACACCCCACTTAGTTTTCCACCCTTGGATGGTGCTGCAGTCCCAGAGGGAATGTGGCCTTCCTGCCAGGCACCTGGGGACACTTGGGGGTCCCAATACAGCTAGGTGATGGGAGTTTGTGGGAAGAAGGCTCTGGAGTGTATCCTCTCCACTCTAATCAGATGGTGTGGGGTTGGTCCTGAGTCTTCTTGTGAAACAATCTTGTCTGGTTTTAGTGCTTGAAATAGGATAATCTTCCTAGTATATGTTTCTCNGCTTTCTGTTAGGAAGACACATTGCAGCAGCTCTCGAAAACTGTGCTCAAACTTGGCTCTGCTACAAGCACTTGAAAACCCAGTTTGTGTGCACCTGATAGAGCTCTCAGTTCTTCATCTAAAACTCCCCTGAGATGTCTGAGTGGAGCAGGTGCTGGTTTTTGCTGGCTGCCAGGGCTGCTAAGGGCAAATGACAAGTGTGAAGCTGGTCTCTGCCATGCACCCCTTGCCCATTCCAGCACCAAAATGCTCAGGGGGAAGCCAGCTGAGTGAAGGCATAACTGGCAAAAGAGACACTGTGTGCTGACAAAAGGAGGTGGGCGAAGGTTAAAAGAGAGTCTGGAACTAGGTGGGAGACCATGGGGTTTTTGCCTTAGAAGAGGCCACCAAAGAGGAAAGGTTTCTGGGATTTTCACCAGCCCCAGCTCTGCTGTAGCCTAGGAGATGGATAGCCATGGAATGAGAGCAGCAGGCTTCACACTAAGCAATGTTCTTGCAAGAGGCTTTGCTTCTCCAGAAGGAAAAATTGCTGAGGTTTGTGTCCATCCACGTCTGAGGTGTGAAGGGGAAAGCAGTCAGCCTGATGGGATTTGGGCAAAAAAATTCTGGAAGCTCATGGAAATATTCATGCTGTGTGACCAGTGCTTCCTGGTTGGCTCCAGACTTGAAGCAAAGAAGGAAGGAGGGAAGAAGGAGCGTCTCTTTGGCCATTGGAAGGGTTTCACCCACCGTTGTGGAGAGAGAAGTATGTGGTGCTGGGTAATTACTGAAACAGCAGGTTTCATAACCAGGCACTGACCTTTGACCTCCAGGTCCAGGGTGCCAAAGCTGTGATCCTGCAGGAAGATCTGCAGAAGCTGCTTGCAGCCTCAGCTGGGAGCTGGCCATGTGTCGTGGACAGCTGTGTGTGGAACCTTCTAGACTTTTACAGTCAGTTCCAACCCCTAGAAGGTCATTTGCCCCCATTGCTCCTCACCCATGCAGGCACTGATGATCACTGTGGAAAAGCCGATCTAAACCACCTTTATGGGCAGGGTGTGAACACTAAGTGGAAAATAGACTTGGAAAACAAAAGCTGTAATTAAAATTAGATTAGTAAGTGATCCTCATCTACTCTGAGCACTGAATACAGGGAAGGTCCTTCAAAAAGGAAATACAGCATGTAATTATAATTAAATTCAATCTTATGGACAATATGGACAAAAAGGCTCAACTAAAGCTGCCTAAATTTTTTAAAATGGCAACTCTTGCATTATATTGGTTCAGGATGCTTTGTTTTGCAAGATTAGTAAGTTTTTTCTTAAAGTTGCCTTTCTGTATTTCAGTGCCTTCACTCAAAGAATGGTAATGCCTGCACGCAACTTCTGTAATTCCACTTGGCTCATCTCTAAATTCACTGTGCTCTGTAAATGATATGCAGCCAGCACAGTGGGGCAGCAGTTAGCTAAAATTAATATTTATGGACTTGGAGGGCTTTTGCTCTGACTTGAAAATTGCTCAAAATATTACTTTATTGAAAAGAAATGCAAATCATCATCTTCCATCCTTCAGAAGAGTAATGACCTTTTTCTCTTTCTCTGTGTCAGAAAGAGATTTGTTGTCTATTGTTTCTTTGCTGGCTTTGAAAGCTGTTCTTTTGCAATGATGAAGCTATAGCACTTGTTCCACTCCTTTGCAGTCCTGGCCATCCATGCTACTAGCCAAAAGTGGAGGAGCTGTCAAGTTTGCAGGAAAGCATCCTTTACCAAGTGACCTTTTGGAATGATGTCAGTTGGGAAGTCAGTGCCAGTGTAGAGGTCTTTTCCTTAAGCTGATGCATTTCTCAGGTTACAGCTGTGTCACTTTCTGTCAAGGCTGAGCCACAGGAAGCAGAGTAGCTGGACAGTTCCTATTCTGATGGCCTTCCATCAGAAGGGTGATGTTCATTACAATTAAATCAATTCTGATCAACCATCCTTGTTAGAGGCCACAGGTGAATGATGGGAGTCCAACAGCCTTGGGCTCTTTGGCTCTAGCCAGGGAAAGTAAAACTGAAAGGACCTAGGTGAATATTTTTCTGCTGAAGTTCATAAAGGTCAGGCTCAAACTAAAGTCAAACAGGCAAGGGAGCATCCTTTTACTGGTGGGGTGATGAGGAAATGTCTACTGATATTCCTGGGGCCACATTTCCCATTTTTCCTCTGTCATCTGAGTGCATGTGTCACGAAAATCCATGTGGGAAGAAGCCCTCGATCACCATTTCCCATTCAGCCATCTGCTCAAGCCAGCCCACCAAGGAGGGAACTGCTGCAGCTCTTTCTCCTGAGACCTCACACTAGAGCTGTCTGAAATGTGGAGGGTACTCAAAAGCCAACAACTGCCAGGCTACACTGCAAACAGAGTTCAGTTCTGGCAGCTCTCCCAAGCCAGACTTGCCAAGAGTGCTCTCTGTCCCATCACCCATAATAACTTAATAACCTTAAGTTTATCAGCCCCAGTATAAACACCTAAGGGACGTCACAGGTGATCATCCACCATCCGGACTCTGTACTGTTGATGCCACTTCTTTCAGCCCCACAATCTGAACAATCACCCACCCACTTTATCAGCTACCCTGGCACTGTAGAAAATGGTGTTAAAGGCTTTGCAGTGTCCAGGAAATAAATGAGACACACTGATCTCATGCTTTGAGGAGGTTGCCCTCAAAGAACAACTAACTCTCCTGGGCAGTTCCTTCCCTCTCCAGGGCAGTTCCCTTTGGGATTCTCTCAGGGAGATCCCTGGATGAAATGAAACCTGTTCTCCTGCAGGTAAGGGCAGTAATGCTGTTTGTACTGCTGATTTCTTGCAGGATTCAGTATTTCACAGTTTCATGGTTGCTGCAGGCAAAATTCATCATTGACCATCATATCCTGAACCAATTCTTCCTATTTTGTGAACAACAAACCCAGCACAGCGTCTCCTCCTGTTGTCTTTTCAATCAGCTGTGTCATGAAGCTGTCTTGAGCACCCTCAAGAAACCATCCAGACTGTGCCTGACCACACAGCCCTTCAGTTAAAGCACACTGTGAGTTAGCCCTAAGGCCTGTGATTGTGTGGGAGGGCTCTCTTGACTTTCTCTCCTTTCCCAGGAAGTCTGTAGTGAGTGCCTGGCCCATCACTCCCCATAGTGCTTTGCCACCTTCTCCTTGCCCACAGGCACTCAGGTGGCCCATCACTCTCCCATGGCCACGTTCTGGGCACTCCTCTGCACAGCACACAACCACTCCTCACTGTTTCCAGCCCGTCCTTCCTGAAGACACTGTGCCCATTGGGGCAGCTCTCCAGGTGTGTGATCTACCCTGGCTCGTCTCTGTATCTCAGAAGAAATCACAGCACTGCAGTTGTGTGGGAGCTGGTATTCCCCCCAGTTGTTCCCCGTTCTACATGTTTGTTTCAAACTACTTGAGACCAGCCCTGCACCCTGAGTCATGATGCTCTCAAAACAGGATTCTGCTGTGGACACTCCAGCAAGGTACGGTCAGCAAACAGACAATGAGCATGGAGGTGCCTCCTCTGGCAGGGGAAAGGGCATTGGAGGCCCTGGCTGCACACCAGCGCTGCCTGCACAGCAGTTGCAGGTGCAGTGCCCTGCAGCCCGAGCTCCCCATCACTGCTGCAGCAAGTGTTCCATTAGGAGGCTTTCCTCTGATCACACTGATGTCACAGATCAAGCTGTGATGGGTTTACTGCTTCTTTTTATCTAGAGCTGACTGTCCTAAGAGCAAGGCTTGTTGATCTCCAATGGCAGGAATGCCAGGAGCACACAGGTGTGCTGCTTTAGGAAATACTTTGACTGACTCCATAATTGTGTTGGCATTACTACTGCCCCAAAGGCTGGATATTTGAGGCACTTTGTAATATATGTGACTTCTTCTTGCAGCTGAACTGTGTTCCACAGAAGCTGAGGTCATTGTGCTGACTGACACTTGGAGTTTGATAAAAACTTTTAATCCTAGAAACATAAATTATTTTTAAAATCTCAGAGGACTGTTCTAAGCTAATTGCTGTAGTAAGTGCTTTCTCTAAGGGAATGTTTGATCTAACTTGAATTCTCTCAAGTTCCAATGGAACCTCTCCTTAGCCTGCAAAGAGAAACCTGTATGATCTGTGTTTAGGAGCTGCTTCTTCCTTGACTTGCCTGTACTAACAAGAAGGTGACACACATTTAAACCACCTTTTTCCAAATTGTCCCATGAGAATGCAGCAGGACTGGTTGCTTGTGAACTTCTCCTTGTCTGTGACAGAGGGCACCCAAACACCCAGGGCTCAGCCAGCCCTGCCCCACTGAGGGCACTGTTAGCACCAGCTGCCGCTTTCAGCAGCAACAGAGGACTCTGAGCTCTGGCCTTGGATGAAGAAGAGGGGGAGGAGGAGGAATGACCCTCATCACCACTCCCCTAAGCTGAGCCAAGCAGAGGAGGAGCTTAGAGGTAGAGCCAAGGTTCATATTTAAAAGCCAGCAAGTGCAGGGAGAGAGGAGCAGGAGAAAAAGGCAGTGTGGGGAAGCGGAGGAAGCAAGGAGAAAGGAGCAGCTGTAAGGGCAAGAAAGTGAGAGAGGAGAAGAGAAAAGGCAAAAGGAGGCAGCAACAGTCTTGGGTCAAAAGAGGAGAAACAAGGAGTAGACAGGCTACAAAATGGCATTGCTCCTGTGGCTGGGGTCCCAGCTGTCATCCATCTGGAGCAACATCTCTATACTGGGAGTCTTTCTTACAGTGTTTACTTTACTGCTTGACTTCATGAAGCGCAGAAAGAAGTGGAGCCGTTACCCGCCGGGCCCAGCCTCGCTGCCATTCATCGGGACCATGTTCTCCATTGACTTCCACAACCCTCACCGCTCCTTCGGCCAGGTGAGTGGCAGCCTCTGAGCAAGACCCTCCACATACAATCCACCATGGGCCCAGGTCACACCCTGGCATCAGCTACAGGTACATAACATGGAGAACAGGAATGTTCCTTTCCCCTGAAATTGCTAGAGAGAGTTTTAAGACTAACTAGCAAAAAAAGGTAAGGGAATGTAAAAATATGCACACAGGATGATAAACATAGAAACAGTGGATAAACAGATACTGAGGAATATGATGGGTGTTTTGGCAAGTTATGTAACAAGAAACGCGCACATGACCAAAGAAAATCTTCAAGGGAACGTCGCTTGTAATACTGAATCACTGAGCAAGTCTGACTTCCAGAGACAGCTTTCAATAACCCTCTAGGACCATGAAAGGACTTCCACCAGGAGGCAGATGCATGCAGATAAATCTTAGGAAAAGGATATCTATGTAGCAGCTGGGAAGCATGCTGCTATGAATATGTATGTTCATGATGCAATAAATACCCTGTTGTAAAGGGCATTTTATGACACTCATTCTATTAGAGGAGTCGTGTGCTACAGTAAAACATACCTGCTTTCTAATACTTCAAATTATATTGGAACGTTTATTTCTGGCCAACTACAGTATCACTACCCTCTCCAACGTCCAGGATGAAGCAAGTCACTGCTCAAGGACACTAACCTGCCCCACACAGACAAAGAGATAATTGTGCACCAACACTTCCCAACCTCTATCTCCCCATTGCTGTATGAGCTCAGTGGGTGACCACTGCTGTGCCCCAGTGATAGGGGCTGCTGTAGAGCTGGCTGCCAACCCTACTTGTGGGCAGGTCTGGAGGCAAAGGAGCAGGGAGTTGTGCAAACAGTGGAAGACAAACAAATATCTGTGTGCTGGGAATGTGGCTGCAGGAATGGCAGGCTTCCCTGGGAGTTACTGAAGCATACCTGCAAGCGTGTCACATTTTCAGTAAAAGAGACCAGCTTGTGGGATTTGCCCCTGCAGCAATGCCCAAAATCTCAGTAGGTTCCTGTTTAAAGTCAGGGCTTACCTTTTCTCAAAGGGAAAGCAGGCCTTTCACAGCCTGCAGCAGATAAAGCACGGGTGTTTTGTGCTTCACCTTGCAAATCCTAAAGTCCTCTTTTCTAGAACAGCGTGTCCAAAACTTGCAAGTGGAGAAACTAAATACAGCATTTGTATGATTTGCTTGCATGTAGACCAAAAGCTTCCCATTTTCAAATAATTTCATGTCAGGGTCATACTAACCACAGTCTTGACCAGTAATCATTTTTACTGATGTATTTCTAATTAGCATTTCTAAGTGCTAATCCCCTTTTCAATCCTACTGCAATACAGTATTAAGTACTTCAATTCCTTTCAATGCCACTGTGAAGAAATCAAGAATCTTAGCCTTTAAACAAAGAAAAAAAGACAGGAAATAAAGAGTAGAAGAAAATTGTGGGGTTTTGCTACTCTTGCACTGTCTTAAAACAACGTACTTCTGAGATATGCTCAGTGTTCCTGACGAGCAAGGGAGCTTTGACCTGCCTGCCCAGGAGTCCATGTCCCATTAAAGGGCTTGTCTACCTGGAGAAGGCTTTGCTCCATGGCCAGCTCCCATGGAGCTGACAGGATTCCCTGTGCAGCCATCCTGATTCAGCTGTATGAGGCTCAGAGATCACAGCAGATGTAGGGTTCCAGTTACCAGTCGTACTAGATGTGTACACTTTTCTTAGGGAGAAAGTTGACCTGGAACTCCAGTGTGGAATTGCCTTTCCCAACCATGTTTCTGGAAACCTGTCTTTGGGTAGATCTTTAGGTACAAATGCATCTTGAAACGCAAATTACATATCACTTTATTATCAATACTTCCTTCAGCAGAAGTAGACCAACTGAGAACTTAGTCATTCAGATCAAAACAAATAGAACGATTAGGAAATAATTCATTATTGAGCAGGCAGTCTAAAAATTCCCACAAAGGTTCTTGACAAAATTAAAAATACTCGCACAATGTTCATGACAAGAGTTTGGCCAGGGTAGGTGTGTTCTAAATTTTTCCACTTACAGGGCATTGATCCCTGGTACAGCTGCTGCTTGGCACTGTTTGGAGCTGATACATTGCAAAGTTCAAGGTCAAAGATCAGCTGAAGATCTCTAAAGAAAAGTACCTCAAAGTTCACTCAGTAGTAAATGCCCTAAAGAAAGATATGGCGATATTTCTGACTTTACACTCAGCTCATTTTCAGGGACATGGGAAGCGACTGCCAGAGCCTGGGCCAGCTCTTGGAACTCCGGTGCCACGCCCGGAGTGGGGAACTGCCTCGGTACAGGGATTTACCAGAGGCAGAACCTTTAGAGCCACTTGCTCTAAGGTGCCAGACACAAGCCATGACACGAACCAGGTTTAAGTGATTAAAGTGGCAGAGAATGTTCGGGAATCAATGGCTGTGTTACCATGAGAGGCAGGGAAGCAGCTGGAACAAGGGGCGGGGAATGGCATGAGGGACAGCTTTGAGGAAGGGTAACACTAACTCGGGGAGAACATGGGGGTACAACAGAACAAACCACATAACAAAGAATCAAAACATAAATTCAAACCGAAACAGACATGCTTTCTTATCTCGGCAGCTTCAGAAGAAGTTTGGAAACATCTTCAGTCTCCAGAACTGCTGGACCAACGTGGTAGTGCTGAATGGGTATAAAACAGTGAAGGAAGCCCTGGTCCACAAATCAGAGGACTTTGCTGACCGGCCGCACTTTCCAATATACGAACATATGGGCTATGGAAAGAATTGTGAAGGCAAGTCCCATGACAATGGACATTCCTTGATAGCACTAGCAAGGGAAGGATTGGGTAGAGGCAAGGTTTTCTCAGTGCAGTGCACCTTTGTGTGTCCCCCTGGTCCGCCTCCTTGAATGTCTGGCACCCTTTGGTGGTGATAAAATTGGATTTGATTAAAGGGGGGCTCCCCTTCATGGCTGTAGTAGAGCTCCAGCAATCACACACTTCTTCAGCTGTCTAAGGACACTGTACATGGTACAACCTTTCTGCCAGCTCCCAACAGCCACAAATTAGTACTTACAGTGCTTATGTAAGACAAAATGCTTATGGAAAATGGTACATGTAAGTTGTTGCAAAAAAAATGATAATTGAATTCAAGACAGAGTATTTTCCTGCATCCTGCCCACATCACATTCTCAGCTCCTGTGTGGTGGCACATGCTGCTACCCAGTTCACACAAGCTATGGGAACAATGCTGAATGTTTTGGAGAGGTGATTGCTTTATCCTTAGCAGCCCTTGTTGATCCCTTTGAATCCCCCTGCACCTTTGCCAGCCATGCACAAGCTTTAGAAGGTGCAGTGATCCTTTTCTGAATTGCTGTCTGAACAAGCTGCACAAGGTCAGACTGTTTCATCTATCCATACAGACCTGTATCTCCAGACTCACAACTGCTGTTCTCTAGCACCATTCACTTGATGCACAAGCCAGATATCTGACATTTCTTACTCATCCACAATTCCAGGGATTGTTGTAGCAAGATACGGGCACGTCTGGAAGGAGCTAAGGAGATTTGCACTCTCTACGCTGAGGAACTTTGGGATGGGAAAGAAATCCCTGGAGGAGCGAGTGGTAGAGGAAGCTGGATTTCTTTGTTCTGAAATCAAGTCTGAAGAAGGTTTGTGACATCCACAAGGATGGGGAAATCACAGAAAAAGGCCATACAGTGATGCAGAGAGAAGTAATGCTACAGCCACTGCTGTTTGCATGCAGGCCTCTCTTCCCATGCAAATGCAGTATTCCTAGTCTATGTGCCCTCCTTGGAGCCTCTTCTGCTTTACACAGTGGGCCTACTATAACACTAATCCATTTGAATCAGTAAACAAATAGGAAATTAGAAATAGAGAGGTAAAACAGAGTTATTCCCAGAGCTCAGTNAAGTCAGTCTGGTTTCAGTGCTTGAATAGGATAATCTTCCTAGTATATGTTTCTCAAGAATTGGTTGCTCTCACATATTTCCTCTTTCACTTATTGAGTCAGTCCTGAGGTGCTCTCATTCTTGTAGCAGATAAGTTATCAGATTTCCCCATGGCCTCTGTGGTTGTTTTGCCAGACATCCTGTAGCACTGGTGTGCCCAGACATAGAGGGATATGACTCTGTCTTGCCTCCTTACCCTTCCCTCCTTGCCCTTCTCCAGATTCCTGTGTCTTTTACACACTTGCTGGACAGTGCAGATCTCAACAGTTCAACAGTGCTGCCCCTGCCTCCCCCACCTTGCAGAGCAGCTCTTTTTTGTCTCCTGCCTGACACTGTTCTCCTTGTCAGGTGAACTACACCATCCTGGCAGAGATCTGCAACCTGTGGCGTAACTATGACGACATCCAGGACTCCTGGGAGAGTGTCCTTTCCATCGTGGACTGGTTCTTCACAAACCAGGACGTGCTGCAGCCGGCAGCTGGCCCCGGCCACTGGAACGACCCGGACATGGTGTGGCTGGGTGATGGGTGCTTGGACCCTCTCTGGGGATGAGCATCTCCAGGGATCCCCTTCTAGGGACAGGGCAAAGGAAAAGCTCCAGGAGCAGAAGCCCTGTTGCTGCAGAGGCAAAGCTGGCATTGCCCTTGGCTAAGATGTGGGAAAAACCATTGTGGTTGCAATGAACCCTTCACCACTTGAATTTACCTCTCAAGTTCTTCAGGTGTTCTTGTCCTTCCCTGCACAGCCTTAGGGCAAATAGTGCTGAAGCAAAGGGTATTAATGAGTGTATGTTGCTAGCAGGGATTAGATCTCCTATGGCGGTGGTGGACTACTTAAGAGGAAGCAAAAGTGTGCGTGAGGTTTCCCTTGTGCATTCCCTCCCAGCAGGAAGCAGCATCACCGCAGGTGACAAGCAGACAAGTTTCTAACCCTTTTCTGCTACTTCTGTCTTTTCACTGTCTCCCCTCCAGCTCATCATTGGAAACTTTGGCCTTAGCTTCGAGCAGTCACGCTCCCAAATGGCTCTGTGGACAGTGATGGCAGCTCCGCTTCTCATGTCCACGGATCTCCGCACCATCTCCCCCAGTGCCAAGGAGATCCTGCAGAACCGCCTGATGATCCAGATCAACCAGGACCCCCTGGGAATCCAGGGGCGCAGGATTGTCAAGGTTAGAGGGAAAGCAGATGCATTTGGGAGAGCAGACAGGAGTAGTGAAGAGCATCAGAATTAGGAGGGAGAGGGAAGCGATGCAGAGAAACAGGAGCAAGAGAGCTGTGGGAGTTGTGGGCCTGCTGGTGTAGCAGCCCCATAAGGCAAAGTCAGAATTCTGTTACACTGTTCCTGGCAACTCTGCCTCACCCACCTATCCCCACCCCTAGGAGAAATCCCAGATCGAGGTGTTTCTGCGCCCACTGTCGCGGGCTGCCAGCGCCCTTGTGTTCTTCAGCCGCAGGACAGACATGCCCTTCCGCTACACCAGCAGCCTGGCCAAGCTCCACTTCCCTGAGGATGCTGTGTATGAGGTGAGCCCCACTGACACACTGCATAGCAGGGCAGTCCCATGGCACATGGATCCCCCTCTTCCCAGATCTCTATGCGATCTGGGAGGGTGAGAGGGAGTACTCTCACCCCATGCCTCTGGGATGAAGGGGCAGCTGCCCACTGGGTCACTCTTCTGTTGCCCACTGCTGTGCCCTTTCCCACTATTCCATGTCCGTGACCACAGCTGGACCCCAAGATGAAAGGTCTGGAATTGCTGGTAGCTCCATCTCTCTCTTTCAGGTACAAGACGTGTATGTTGGGAAGATCGTTGGGGCCTTAAGAACAGCAGACAACTTCTCAGTGGTTATTAACCCCTCAGGGGTGGTGATGTGGTATCTCCGTCCCATGGCACTCCCGGTACAACCCTGGCATGTTGCCAGGCAGCAAGCCCCTGGTGAGGGTTTCCACCCAGCCCTTCTGTGACAGGGCCCAGTGGATGTGGACCAGTGCCAGGGTGAACTGTGAGACCCCAAGGCACGTGGCTCTTCACTGCCCAAGTGCCTTTTGCTGGTGAGCCCAGCAGTGCTGGGCAGTGACCATCGCCTGGTACCAGCTTTATGATGTCTGCTCCGTCTGCATAAACCAGGAATTCTTGTTACCCACTGCCTAAGGGTGTGCAGAGCATAGTGCCTCAGTGATTGCAAAGCCTTTTGAGATGCTCCTGTGGAAAATGCCATACAAGTAGAGTCCACCACTACTGACGTTTGTCAGTTCTGACACCTGAGAACTTCATTGCTTTGAGCTGGGTATTACTGGATGCTGCAGGGGTTGTTTGAACTACACTTGTAGAAAGGCTTTGGGTGCTTTAATATCTCCTAGGGTTGAGACATCCCCTTTTCCCCCAGGTGTGTGATGGCATTAACCTCAAGGATTAGACTTTGTCACCGTCTTTCTTTTGCTTTTATCAGCTTGGTTTAGAATAAGGAGCTGCCAGCTGGGCTGCATCCCTCCCATGTATCCCCACCAGGACCAAGAGCTCTTGGAGGCATAATGGCCCTGTGCAGTGAGGCTTTCTGCTTTCCTGCTGCCAGGATTCCAGAGGCCAGCACTACTGCACCCTACTGTGTGTGCTAGCACTGTATTAGAGCCCTTCTGGTAGAAGTTTACAGCAGGGCAAAAATCTCCATGAGCCATGCACAACCCCAGGAGCCGTGCTGTGGTACACACCAAAAACTGCAGCCATAGCACTTTGTGTAGGAGTGCTGGCAGGAAGATGCTGATACTCAGCTAAAGTAGTCTTTTGGGTTGGGAGTTGGTCACAGATGCCTCCAAGCTGAAAGCTGCATCCTTTCTCTATAAGGAAATTTCTGCTGAAAGGAGGATCAGATCCTACTTCAGCAGGCTGAAAACTCAGGGTATCTCAGGGAAAGGCTTCTTCTCCCAAGGGCTCTTGAATCCACAGCTCTATCCTGAGGAGGAACCTACACTGAAAAACCGGAAGTGAGCATAAGGACACTCTAAAGCCTTCAACTGCTTCACCTTCATACAGCGGATTACCTATGGAGTTCTAGGTGACAAAAGATTCAGCCTCAGACTGAGGAAATAAATTTTAGATTAGGAAAAAATATCTCTATTTCCATTCAGCTGTGGGAGGGTTCCTGGTCATCTATCCGCTCTGATTCCTGAAGGACCAAATGGTTTCCAATGGTTTCCAGAAACTTTCTCGGAGGTGCAGGGTCAGGATACTGAACACAATGCTTGCAGTTCTAATAAGGGAGGTCTTGCCAACAAAACAATGAGCTGGCTTTGTTCTTGGGGAGTGATTGAGGCAAATTGATTGAAATAAAGTGAAGTAGATCATAGACTCTGTTTCATGTGTTGCTAGCTATACATGCTTGGTTAATGTAGGATTACACTGTCATTACCTCAAAACAGGAACAACTGTGCTAGGAAATTTAACTGGTTTCTGTCATGGACATATTTTATGAAAAATCCTTTCGTTAGGATCTTTTCTCCTGAGAAGCTGAGAGGCCTCAGAAACAAAATGTAAACAATAACTACCTGCTGCTGTGGAATGCAACAGGTGTATCTTTGATTGGTCTCATGTGGTTGTTTTTAATTAATGGCCAGTCACAGTCCAGCTGTCTTGGACTCTGGTCAGTCACAAGATTTTATTATCATTCGTTCCTTTCTAGCCTTCTGATGAAATCCTTCTTTCTATTCTTTTAGTATAGTTTTAATATATCATTTTCTTTTAATGTTATCTATATAATTATATATTATATATATAATAGAATAATAAATCAGCCTTCTGAACCATGGAGTCAAGATTCTCATCTCTTCCCTCATCCTGGGACCCTTGCAAACACCACCACAGGTTTCCTGTCAGAAACTGCACTGATGCAGAGTAGGAAATTGCTTTCCAGTAGTTACATCATGTTCAGCAGGGTAGCAGCATTCCTTGGCACAACAGTCTATAGCCAAGTGCCATTTTCCTTATTATATATTTATTTTTCCATTGCTGGAAAAAAAATTGCTGCCAAGGAGTTTCTTTTAAGGACTTTAAAGGCCTCCCCTCTGGTGTAATGTACACAAAAGAGGTGCTGTGGCTGCAGCTGTAACGAGCAGCAGCATGATGGGACATGCTGCAGTGATGGGACAGGAACATGTGCCACTTCTGGATACCTGGGCATAACCACTGGCCCTAGCCAGCGTTTCACCCTTTCCAGGCAGAAAGGGGATAAGCCCCACTTTCTTCAGTTACTTGATTCCAGGTCCAGCTTAGCCACATACCAGGGAGAGAGATGCACTGACCCACAGGTGACCCAAGGGAACAGCAGTAGTGGCTCTAGTTCATTCTAGCCTCCTGTGGAGTATGCAAGAATTAAGGTCAACACAACACACACACATACACACCACTGAACTGGCAGATAAAGGTATCAACACTCCTGTATTAAAGTGCAATTGAAAAAGTTACAAACATTCATGGTTGATTTTTTTTTTAAATACAGAGTTGTTAGAATATCTCAAAGTCAGAAAAAGTGTTTACAGATGAGGAAACTTACTTCCCCCCACGTGGAACTGCTTTAAGAATTCATTCTTTTAAGTTGTGCAAACCTGACTTGCAGGTGGGCCCTACCATACAGGGAATTAAGAGGGAAAACACTCCTTTCCCCTCCTTGTGAAGGAAGGGAGGCTGTAGGAAGAAGTACAGTCACCCTATTAGGATAAAGGTAAAGGATCACAAGGGTCTCCACCAGACTAGAGACTCTCTTCAGAGCAGGCTTAACTTCACTATGTCCTAAAGAAAAAGGAGAGGTTGTGGCTGAGCAGCCAGAGTCTCTGCAAGAGAACCAAGCACTGGAAACTCCCACCCAGACAGCAGCTCCCAGCCGAGGGCACTGCACCTGTGAGCAACCAGCTGTGGCATTACAGTGCCCACCTGCCCACGCTGCTCAGGTGTGGGCA